ATTTTATTGACAAAGGTGGAAAGAATTTTCTTTATTATAGTAGCCACTTCCAATTCAGTGGTTCTGATAATCCTTTTTTCTTTCCTCCAATATTTAAAAAAATACTTGTGAGAATTTGACATTAATATCACTATTTCATCATTACTATTCATGATGTGCTTTTATCTCTCTTTTAAGAGGAAATATAAAACTTGTCTTTACATTATTTTCTTAGTATAAATATTTTTCATAGAATCTCTGGTCCGGCATTGATCTGATAATGATCACATAGCCCTGACAAGTGGCAATGCTATTATTTTGGTTGATAAAGGGACACATTTAATTGGATGTACAAATACTCTAAGAGAATGTCATTCTTTATTCACTAGTTTCTCATGAGTTTGTCTTACTTTAAAATAAAATTAAAAATATGGGCAACAGCACAATACCATACATAGAGGCTGCAATAAAATATCAGAACACAAATGAAGCCAATGATTGTCAATGCTCAGTACATCTAAGACAATGGGTCACCTTAAGTGAAGTAGCCATTTTTTACGTTATCTAATGTTTCAATGCAAACACTTAATTGATGTATATTTCTATCCAAAGATAAAAATATGAATGGATTTGATTGACTGACATTTCAATAAATTTCAGTGAACAAAACTAAAATATATGGATTGAATTCACACATTACATTAAGCCATAATGTAGCTATCTGACTTTGATTTGGTGTAATTTGTGGACCCAGCTAAGTGAGATTAATTTGATTAATAATGGTGAAATAAACCAGGATGCAAACTCAACCAGAATTTGGCCTTACTTTCTAGACAAAAGCCATAAAGATTCATACAAGGAAAGCAATAGAAAGCTTTCATAAAGATACATAATTGTGCAAAGAAAGTTAGATTCTTTTATGTAAACAGTATTAACAGTCAATTGTGTAATAAAATAAGTGTAAATTTTAATTTGATAATTTAAATACAAAACAGCTGTAAATGGCCAAAGTGATTTGTTGTAAATCATGTGTCTTCAGATTTGTGAGGTTTACATCTCCCAGATGTTTTCCAAGATTGCAAAAGCTTTGGAATTGTACTTCATATACAGCTAGAGATTCAAGATTGAAAAAGGCTTGAATATGGCACTACTAACATCTAGTGAAATGTTATGCTTATGTAGAAATGACCAGTTGATTTTACAGAGTTTACTTGATCTTTAATAAATATATATCTTGGAAATAATGAATACTTGAAATTATATTCAGAATATTTGCTAATGTAGTTTTTACCCTGCCAATGAGACAAAGATAGCTCTCAAGATCAAAATGTATGATTGAATTGTTCTCTATAATACATAGATTATAATAATACAATACTAATATAATATTAGTATGCTGGAAATGTCAGATAAATATTATCAGAGCAGAGCCTGTGATCAGTATGTTAGATTATATCTCAGTTCAGACATTCTAATGTCCACCACAAAAGTTCCAGTAATTTTGTATTTTCTAGCACATTGGTGTTTGACTGTGAGACACCTTAAATACAGTAGCCCATGGATGAAGGTTAATAAATGCAATGAATAGATGAGTTTGTTCAAAGTGTGGAATATTTCCACCAAAATCTGAATCTGTTTGAAGCATGTCATAGCAATATTGACTAAGCATCTGATGAAGAAAGCAACAACTCCTGAAATGTTATTATTTTTAAATAAAATGTGTCAGAAAAAGTGCTACCAAATCCCTAATTTTTGGGCTATCATAGTCTAAAACAGCTCTCTTTCAACACTGCCCACAATAGCAGTAACTGAGAATGCCTGCATGGATAATGGCATCTTGATTGTTAATGGAGAAAGACTGTATGATCTGGCAGTAGTGCTTTCCAGTATGAGTTTAGGCAAGTATATCCATTTTAAAAATGGAAAGTCTCTTAGCCTAAAAACCAGGGGTGAAATCAACTTACCTTCGCTACTGGTTTGCAAATATGAGCACATGCACCACCTCCGCACATGTGCAGGACCGCCTGCACAGAGCATAAAAAATGGGACATGATGATGTCCGGGCAGGTGGGCGGAGCCTCCCATCGCCACCACTACCGGTTCGCTTGAACCAGATTGAACCGGCTGAATTGCACCACTGCTGAAAACAATCACATTATAGTATTACATACTGGGGTGATCCACTTGGAAGAATGTAAGGTTTGTTTTTATTTGCTGTCAAGTCTTAACCAAGGATCTAAAAATTATTAAGACAGATTCAAAGAATATAGGCAGTTCCAAACAGGGTGGTGGGTTTGTTTGGGTTTTTTTGTAAAATCAACATCTGATAAATTTAATATTTCTAGATATGCTTTAAGTATTGCTTTAAGGGCTCCAGTCACAATTGCTGTAACATTTCCCCCCATAAACATTCAGTTTTGATCAGCAAGTCCCAATATTTTGTAATTTTTGACTAATAACATTTCTTGTTGTTAGGTTTCATTGCTGTTTGCAAATCTTACATTAAAGATTCTATGGCATCAGAGATGAACCTGATCAACCATCCCCAGCTATCTTCAGCAGATGGATTTCCTCTTTCTGAAGGTCCTAGTTTATTTGGTAAATCAGAACTTACATTCATAGCAATACAATATTTATAATGAAAAAAAGCTAACAGAGAGTCGGTTTGGTGTAATGGTTAAGTCACCAGGCTAGAAAGAGGGAGACAGTCAATCTAGTCCCACCTTAGCCATGAAAGCCAACTGGGTGACCTTGGGCCAGTCACTCTCAGCCCAATCTACCTCACAGGGTTGTTGTTGTGAGGAAAATAGGAGGAGGAAGGTAGGTTGGATATGTTTGCCACCTTGAGTTATCTGTTAAATATAACAAAGGCAGGAAATAAATAAATAAATAATAAATAAATAAATAAATAAATAAATATAGTTCTCTATCATTTTAACTATTTTTAGAAATGCCCCCCGTTAGTTTTTGTCAATGCTATAAAATGAATGAATAGTTACACAATAAATAACTAAATAAAATTAAAGAAAATGAGGCAATTCAGTGTTAAATCCCACTATTAATGCAAGAGGAGAACACATATACTGAATAGTCCTTCACTAAAAAGTCTCTGTCTAAAATCCTGGATAGCAAATATCAGTCAGTGCAGGCAGCATGGAGATAAATGTTGACTGTCTTTTGTTCAATGAAAAAAAAGATTACAGTCTAATTACTGAACATTCAGGAATTCAGAGTCCTCAGTTGCTCAACTATTCTATAGTTCTTGGTGCTCTTTGAGCTTGGTGGTTTTCTTGGAAATATTTTGTTAATGTTACCTAGTTTGGCAATGAAACATCTGAAGGAAAACCACCAAGCTCTGAGACTACCAAGGACCCCACTGGTGTCCAACCCTGAGTTTAACCTTGAGTCACAAGATAAATTCTCTTTTATCAATTTCGTGTTTCAACCAACACCTCCAAGGTCCCTTCTAACTCTGTTATTATATTATATTCTATGTCTTTTCCCATCATTCAGCAACATTTACATTTAGTCAAACATTTAGTCATGTGAAAAATTCATAAACGCTAGTGTAGCTGTCCTTTCCTTTCCATTCCTTTCTTTTCCTTCCCTTCCCTGTCCTGTCCCTTTCCCTTTCCTTTCCTTTTCCTTTCCTTTTCCTTTGTTTTGTTTGACAATATACTTATAGATGAAAGAATGTGGTGATCTGGAATGAAGTCTTGATGATGAGGAAGATGGCAGGGGATTTTAACTGTTTTCCCTTTGTGATACTTCTGCATTCTTTGAATGTCTGCATTTTTTCTCCTTTCTGCCTCTTCCCCTCAGCTGTTTATCTTTCCATCTTCCTCATAATACTTCCTTTAGTCTGTCTGTCACCGCTTCTCTGTTTTCAGCTGTCAGCATAGAAGAGCATCCCATCATCTTAGCCAAAAGATAAGAATAGATGGGTTTTGCAAGCAATGAGCAGGTGACATCAGGTTTTAGTATAGAAAAGATTTTCTGAGACTGTATAAAATGCAGTCTCTCTCTCTCTCTCTCTCTCTCTCTCTCTCTCTCTCTCTCTCTCTCTCTCTCCACACACACACCTCTGTTTTTTATATAATGAACAGTAAAATAGTTCAAGTAAATAGTATTTTTCCCCATATATTACATTGTTAGCATTATTTGGACATATGTATACAACAAATAAGCTATATAGTAAATGTAATTATTTTCTTTGGGTATTTTTGCATGGTAATCAGTAACTCCTCAATATTCCTCACCATGTTTTTCTGAACACTAATTCTTTTTGTCAGGAGGTAATTTCACCCTCACCTTTTGTCAGTGGCAGGCAGCTAACATGGCAGCAGATCACTCAATTTGGACTCAGAACCATTGGCCAGTGAGATGAGAGGAGCCCAGCTGGTAGCAGGGCTGCATTGTACAAAAAGCTGATTGGAACATACTGAGGGCCAGCAACAGCATAAAGCATTTGGCCAACGTGAGACGCGATGAAAAGTCCCCCTCCAGAATTCCTTTGCTTATAAACATGCTTGAATCAAGTTGTTTATATTTTTAACATGGAGATGATTCTCCCAATAGATCTCTTATCTTGGTGGGAGGGGAAGAATAAGATGTGTTTCCCATGAGGCAAAGAGCAGTCCTTCTCTAGATACAACTCTGGCAAATACAAGAGGAAAAAGATAATTTGGTATCAAGGCAGTCAACCTATTTACAACACGATCATATTCACTTGCTGACTGTTACAATGAGCCATCTTCATGAAGCAGCTCATTTCCCCCAGCAGTTTCAGTAATGGTTTCAGTAGTCTTGCCTTAGGGACAAAGTTTTTATATAATTATTTTCCATTGTGAATTATAATATATTCGTTGATTGGCTTATTTTCCCAGGCAGCATTTGTATAATTCATCAGAAAAACAAGAAATAATACAGCAGGCAAGCCTATAGTTATGAATGCTTCTTCTGAGAGCATTTTTTCTAAATTTCACCAAATTGGGCTGGACAATTGTCATAGCTAGTTTCTCAACTTATTTCTCATAATAAAGTTAATCAGTAAACTGTGCGACCTCTGCCCTACTGTTTCCTTCGCTGGTCTGAGAGGAAGTTTTACTTATCATTTGGGATTAGAGGTTTGGAAGTTAAGAAAGCAGAAGAAAAACCATATTACAAAATTTTCAGGAACTCTACTTAAATTGTCAAACTGGTGTGCTCTTAAAAGGTAAGATATCATGCCAACTTACTGATTTGCTATTCTTAATATTAGATAGGATAATTTTATAGCAGTTATAATGAAACCATGCCTAGACTCTGATGTATTATAACCCAATACTATTATTTCTTTTTTGTATATATAACTAACTCAGTTTGGAACTATCTAGTGAGTATTTTTTTACTCTACAAAATCATTTCTAATATGTTGATTTTGGTTCTTCTTGTTTTTGATTTGTGGTAGACCTATCTTCTCCTTCCTGGTGTCCTCAAGATGTATTAGACTACAGCTGTCATCTTGCCCCAATCAGCATAGGTAGGTTGAAAATACTCTAAAACATGTAGAGTATTTGGTTTGGGAAATTAAAGTATAATAAGACTCAAGCATATTAACGTCTGATAATTTGATAAAACAACATTACAATTGTGAATAATATTGTGATTAATATGGAAAAGGTTTCCCCTCTCCTGTCATGTCTGACTCTAGGCGTCGGTGCTCATTTCCGTTTCTTAGCCAAGGGAGTCATCATTGTCTGAAGACACTTCTGTAGTTATGTGTTACCTTCCTACCTACGTGGTACCTATTTATCTACTTGCATTTGCAAGTATCAAACCCCCATATTGTGATTAATACTATTATCATTATTACAATGTTTATTTGATTTAAAAAGGATAACCAAGATCACTTACTAGTATATATACCAGTAAAACTAGTGTTTGTTCCATAATTTTATTAAATGAATTAATAAGCTAGTAGCATTTAATGGTTCTTTAGAAAGCAGACAATCTTTCTTTTGTAGTCCATAGCTTAGATTCAAAAAAGTGTCCTTCATGAACGCAAATGATGTAACAAAAACTTAAAGTTTTAAATATATTGTTTTTGTCTCCCAAACTAAAAATAATATAATATACATTTATCCTGACCAATACCAACCTCATACGGCTTCAGTCCTACTCCTCTGAAAACTCCCACTTGTATGAGAAAAAGAAAAATAATTTAAGATAATTGTAAAAAACAATATTGTATCAATTATTTATTTATTTATTGTGTTTTCAGAATAAATTTAGTGATTAATTTGACCATAATTTGCTTAAATAACCCAATGACATAGTGAATATCCTAAATACAGGTTTGGTCTTTATTCTAGTCTAAAATATGTCTGGGTTAGTTTGTCAGGATATCTGCGAAAGGAAAAACAAAGGAAAAGGCTACCAAGATCAGATCAGAAATAATTTAATTTGATACTGCTTGAAGGAATTTGCATCTATTAATCCTTATAATGCCAGTATGTAAGATTTATAACTAACTATTGAAATGTTTTAGCAATATTTAGTCTAGCAATATTTATATGTGATTTTGTCAGCAAATGCACTCATGCAGTTTTAACAACTGGAAGTTCAATATTTAGAATCAAGAGCTAGATGGATACAGGTCAGGAATTTTTCGGCTTTTAACCCTTGCTAAACTCTGCTCGAGTGATCATAAAACGGCAGACTAGATGAGGCACATCGTTCTCTTGCCTCCTGTAGAGGGCACTTTTTAAGAGGCTTTTTTAAACAGTTAAGCACTAAGCAGAGTCATCCATCATAACTCTGGCAGCAACTAGCTCAGCCTGACTTCAGCTCTTGCCTTTTTCCTTTTACATTTTTTTTCTTTTCATGATGACAGTGGTGAGTCTCTGCCTCCCCTGACTGCACGTCCCTGGTGTATAGTCAGGGGTGGGATTCAGCTGGTTTAGACCGGTGATCCAGATGTTAATTTTAATCTGGTTTGCCGAACCAGATTAAAATTGCAAGGACTGGCTGACAACTCCCACCCCGCCTCTTCCTGGAGTCTCCACGCAGCCTGCTTTGGATGCAAGGTAAATGCAGGGTGCACACAGAGGCTCTGGAAGGCTGAAAAACAGGCGTCATGAAGTACCAGAAGTCCAAAAACGGGCATGTTTCTGGCTTCCAGAGCTCAGGGGAGGCCATTTTCGCCCTCCTGGAGGCTCAACAAAAACCTTTGGAGCATGGGGAGGGAGAAAATCCCACCCCCCCATGGTGCAGGAAGCTGACTAGACCATGCCCCCATGGCCACACCCACCCAGCAACCGGGCAGAGAACCGGTTGCTAAAAATTTTCAATCCCACCCCTGTGTATAGTCCCCTCATCTGGCATAGACATCTTCCTACATAAAGTTTATATACACACCCACAGACACCCAACCAAATCTAAAAAGAATGAGCATGTCAAGAGGATCCAGCAAAGTTAATTAGAAACAAGAAACCTATTTATTTTTTAAAATGTATGCTGTAGATCCATCATGGTGGAACAGAGGCTCCCAACCCTTTGGACATCAGGGGCTGGTTCTGTGGAGAGAAGTTTTTCCATGGACCAGAGGAGGCATGGTTTCATGTGCTGCCTACATCCCTGGGGCTTCGCTTGTTTGCGCGGTTTCGTTTCTGGCATGCCGCAGCCCAGTGCCAATCCATGGACTGGGGGTTGGGAATTCCTGCTGTAGAATCTCAATTTAATAGACCACTCAGGGGAGAGGGTAACTACTAATGTGAAATGTCTATTAAATTCATATCTGTCATTTTCATCAATATGCTTAATCTGTATGATCATGTAATTGACAAAACTCCTGCCATATGCAGAATAAATCAGTATAAAGGGCAACACCGTTATTTAATCTATAAAATCAGGAGGCTGTCTAAATGAAGAATGCATCCACCTCATATCACAAATTTGTTAATCCAAGGTCTCACTATAATTAGACCCATCCAAGCACACAGAGCAATCTCAGTTCAGGATGATTGAACATTAATATACACTGCAAGCATGTACAAGAGGAAAAAATGGCAATATTTATTTTTAGTGAAAATAACTGTTCCTAGAAGATTGACTTAGAAACATATCTTGTGTTCTTATTGAGGTATACATCCGGATCCAATGATTTCTACAGCGAAAGATACTGACGTGTCATCCTACTCACAGTACAACACTATGCATTTTTGCCCAATGCAGCCTCCAATCACTTTACCACCTTATTATTCAAGTTTTAGTCTTCATCCTCAACAATCTGAAGAATGGCACTCCCCTGTAATGTATGAACTTGAAAAAATGCCATCTAATAACTTACAAACCAAGGAGACAGATCTGGTAGACTTTCCTGTAGCCAAGAAATCTCGGATGGGTCTACTCTCTGGAAGAACAAAAGATAAAGAGCTGTGTGTTGTCTGTGGTGACAAGGCCTCTGGATATCATTATAATGCCCTGACTTGTGAAGGCTGCAAAGGTAGGATATGTTTTTTTAAAAAATAGGGCAAACTATTACTTAGAATTCATCTACTTAACCAAGGTAGAGCCATTGTTCAGATCTTCTCAACCTTGGCATCTACACACACACACACACAAACACACACACTCCAGAATTCCCTGGTTACCAGTTCTCTCAGAATTCTGGGAACTGATGTCTACATACCTTAAAGTTGCCAAGATTGAGAAATATTGTTTAGATTCATAAATGTATGTCAGTAATATTACTATAATAAGGTTGTGTGATTACAGATAGGTCAACAGATAGAACTATGTGACAAGATCATTCTCTGTTTAACAAAAGCTTCAGAAGTAGGTTTGCTTCACTATCAAGTCAGGAGGGCAAATGCTGCAAGAATAAAAAAAAACAATGGGGGCTTTAGGTTGCCAGATTGGGAGCTCTATTTCCAGGCTTCTACATTAACTTGGGTGAAATAATGGATAAATCTCAGCAATAGAAGACTGCTGTTATTGCTGGAGGGACGTGATCTTTAGTTGGGATGGCATGCCTTTTTGTGGTCTGAAAAGAATAAAATACATAGATATTTTGCAAATACCAGGGCAGGTATATTGATTTTATAATTCCTTTCTAGTGCATTTATCTTGGTAGAACTAGAAAATTTCCTTACCTGGAATAGCTTTTGTATTTAATATCATGCAATAATCTGGTACAGCTATCTACTCCATCGGTCACACAAGTGAAAGATTGAGAGATGTGTGCCCCATGTATCTCATTGTTCCCTGCATATACTGTATGTAGGAACATTGTTAGAAATAACACTCTGTAACAAATCAGAGCAGAGTAGCAAGCATTCTATTCTAAATTGGGGGGAAATATATTTCTCCAGAAGAGATCTTTGTAGATTTAAAAGCCTATATATGGTATAGAATATTGTACTTAAGGAAATCTAGTTTTCAAAAACCTGCTCAAACTGAAAAGGGTGCCTTTGCAATCAATCTATCATTTAATCAATTTTTATTCAGTCATAAATCAGCAATAAAAAAAGAAAGTCCCAATTAATTCGGGTAAAAAGGGGGGGAGTTCTAAAATATCTAAAAAGGATTAGAAAAGAAACTACAGTGTACTGTACACACAATAGAATAATAGTTATAGTCAAAGAAGTAAACAGCAGAATGATCTGATAATAATCGATTTGTCAAGATAAATAATTTAAACTACCAGGATGTTAAGCAATGAATAGAGATAATTCTTGGCTGCCTTTGCATGATAGATTCAGATATAAATCTTATTTAGTAGACATGCATGTGCATTAATCTACTGCTTAGTTGGGATTTGTCTAGGGAGACTCTCAACCATCCAGGTCATGGTTGTTCAAAGGTGGGTGTTTTTTTCCCCAAAAGGCAACTGGATTTATTTAGTTTTTTGCCACAATAGGACAGGACCATGTATTTGAAACTATGTACCAAAGATGGCAAGTTATTGTGGCTGAAATAACAGAACACCCTAAGCCAAAGCCAACAAATGTACATTGCAATGCAGTACAACATGTAAGTTGGTTCAAATAGCAGGATAAACTTCCATGACTTAGATGCAATCTACTATATGTAGTTCAGTGGTGAGATTCAGCCAGTTCGCACCTATTCGGGAGAACCGACTGTTAACTTTCTAAGCAGTTCGGAGAACTGGTTGTTGGAAGAAATCTCTTTTCCCCCCCTCACTTTACAGGGCTAATCCTGTAAGGAAGGCAGGAAGGAAACATTCTGGTGTTGTTTCTAGCCTAATCGTTATTGCCCTGCTTATAGAAACAGCCTCTCCAGTTAACCCTTATTTCATTGTAACAGCTAAGGCAAAGTGCCCATCGACCTGAGTGGCGCTGAGTTGGCCACGTCCACCCAGTCACATGACCACCGAGCCCCACCTACCCAGATGGCCATTAGGGCAGAGAACCGGTTGTTAAATTATTTGAATCCCACCACTGATGTAGTTCAGCCTATGTGGTTGGTAAATGGTGGCTTATGGGTTAACAAAATATGTAAAGTTGACTATAACGTAGCATGACATATGAACCCACTTAGAGGATAACAGAATATGCAATATTTTAGAACTAACTGATTATACTCAAGTTAGAAATTCAGGCTAGATAAAACTTTTACTGTGATCTATAAAACACATTTGTGTAACTAGTAGCATCTTAAGTTAGTGGTGTTCATATAATAATCATTTTAGTATTGGTTTTAAATCTGAAATATTATTCTGCATATATCTTCAGGTTTCTTCAGAAGGAGTATCACTAAAAGTGCTCAATACAAGTGTAAAAATGGAGGAAACTGTGAGATGGACATGTATATGAGGAGAAAGTGTCAGAACTGCCGTCTACAAAAGTGCAAAGCAGTAGGAATGCTGGCAGAATGTATGTATACAGCTATTTTATGCAGCTAAATCTACGAAAACATATAATATATGTATGTATGTATGTATGTATGTATGTATGTATGTATGTATGTATGTATATATAATGTTTGGCAACGTTGCCAAGACAATCTCAATCTTACATGGGAAATGACCCAAGTACAACAAGACCAGCATATCTCTGAAATCTACGAAAACATATATATAAAATATAGGGGCAATGGATAGTTAGGAAAAGATTATATGGTCTTTGGATTTACGCATTTAGGAAAAAAAAACAAAAATCAGATTCACTGTTGGTATTGTACTTAGCTAACATTAGACTTATAAAATTGTATTTTATTAAAATTTGCTTTCTTGGAATGTGTTGTGTTTTGTAAATATACAAGGATAGGATTCAAACTGTTGGGTGTTTCCTATTGATAGTTTCAGTTATTTTAGCATAATTGCAGTATCAAACCAGTTTAAGCTCATACCGGAAATTAATCTACTCTGAATTTTTAATATGCCTCTCCAATCTGATCACTAGATGCTACAGTATATCAGCTCTTATGCTTTGTAGAAAACAATAGACTCTATTAGCATTTCAGAATTAATGAAAAAATTATAGTACAATTGACCCCCCCTTATGCTGTCAATTTAAAAGCAAAGATCTTGCTATATGCCCTCTCTGCCCTCAGTGCACAAGCAGGCAGGCAAATGAGGCTGATCTTCAATGAATCTGTAAGCTTGTCATAAAAATAAGCTTTCTTAAAAATAAAGTCAGGTTGTTCCCAGAGAAAGAGGGAATGTGTGTAACTTCAGTACTGTCAGTAATTTAGCATCTGATAATAAAATAAACAGGAAAAAATAGGACAATGTCACTAATGTTGCCCAAGGAAATGGAAACTTTCAAACCAGCTGGCCATTTTCTCAGATAGTCTTGAGTGAAGCAAAGGCCAGGAATAAGGCACTGTGACTTAAATCTCCCTCTGAAATGGAAACTTGTACTTTGTTACTATGAGAGTCATATAACTCATAATTTAAACATAAGCAGATTCTTGTAAAGTACAGGAATGAGGACATCATGCAAGTTGTAACTACCTTTGAATAAGGAGTGGTGCTGTTCATTTTTAATTTAAAAACAACCTTCAAGGTTTGCCAGATAGTTAAACTTGTAACTTTTTTGTAAATTGACTTTAAGCAAAGTGATCTCTTTGAAATTAACATTGCCTTGGACTTTGAGCCTTTACTCATAAGGCAGTATTGCAATTGTTCCTGTGAAATGTTGCTATACTGCAAAAAAAGGGGGCAATTTTATGGTTTTTATTACTTTATTTGTGCATTCCTGAATCATCATGATCTAGTGATTACACATCAAGTTTTTGTGCAGTTAAAGATACATGTCTAGCTCACGAAGTAGAAAGGGATCCTCACTCAAATCAGGTTCATACTTTGTTGGAAAGACAAGCTTGTCATTGGAAATAATTCTGAGATTTTATTAAATAGCTTAGAAGGATATATGGCTGTTCTTGTAATACAATAAAAGAAATAAAAGAATACATTAAAAATGGGGGGGAGATCTAATACAATTAAACCAGAGGTGGGTTGCTGCCGGTTCAGCCCGGATCGGGCAAACCGGGAGTAATGGCAGTGGGGCACTCCGCCCACCCGCCGGAGCGAAGCAGTAATAAAAATAATAGAAACCCACCACTGAATAAAACCATTTGTCAGATATTTACTATTCTGTTCAGTACTGTTCAGTGCTGTTATTTAGAAAAAGAGACATCCATCTGAATGCATTAAATAATCTATCTGGCTCTAGTTTATGTATACCCTGTGTTTTCTGATTCATGGATATATGGAAATGTCTTTTTCCTCTAGCATATGAAGCAACTGTCACCCTTTGGTAGTATTCATAATGTGATTTACATTGAACACATCTGGAGAATGCTAGTTTGCTCAGTACTGAAACAAAGTCAGCACTAAGTCTAATGCCTATGTTGTGATTCTAAATGGCATTTTAATCTTTGGAGATATTATGTGGAATTGTTATTTTAATCCCTTAAATTTCCTCTTCTTTCAAGAATAGAGGAAGTTTGATTTCTGTGGTGCATGATTTTATAACATACAGGATATTAAAACTATTCATTGCTGAATTAAGCATTTTCATAGATATCTTCCTCAACAATATTTAGTCTCTTTTATTCATTCTCCCAGGTGAAAAAAATGTACACACATACACACACACACACACACACACACACACACACACACACACACAAAAGTATTCCATTTGTTATGGTTGCTATAGCCCTGCATCATCATTTCTGTATTCTTGGACAGCAATATTTTATCTTCTTAAACTGATATAGTAAGATTGAATTTTTAATATTCTGAGTAGAGAAATATGTTGATCGAAGTCAGCTATATTCCTTTGAACAATTGTGAGAGGTGGGATGAATGACATAGATCCAGCTTTGGCAATAACTTTACAAATTTATTTCCATCACCATGTTTCAAGTATTAGTAAAACAGATAGTTTGCTGAAATAATGTCAGTAAGTGAATATCTCCTTAATTTTTCTCACAATGTATTTTTGGAATTGATTATGTTTTAATATAATATGTCAAATGAGATCTTGATTTCCACCCAGCTATTTCAAACTGGGTCTGTGTTTCATGAAAAATACTTCTGGGGACATAGATTTGCCTTTCTCTCTGTAGCCGTGATGGTGAACCTATAGTACGTGTGCCACAGGTGGCACGCAGAGCCCTCTCAGTGGGCACACGAGCCATTGCCCCAGCTCAGCTCCACCGCACATGCAAGCGCACCTCTCGCCAGCTGATTTTTGTGTCTCTGCTGCGCATGCATGGGAGGCGGGGTGCATGCAGGAGCCGTGCGTACATGCACAGAGGGATGGAGGTTTTTGTGTGCATTCATGGGAGGGAGGGGTGGTGCCACCCCGCGGGCTGTTTTTGCCCCCAGGAGGCTGCAGGGAGGCCTACTAGGCCCAAAATGGGGCATGAAGAGGCCATGCACGCATGCAGAGGGGGCAGGGAGCATAGGAGGTCACATGCACATGTACAAGAGGTGGGGCGCACAGGGGGTGTCACACATGCATTGCATTATGGGTGCGGGCATGCAGGCTGGTTCTGTCTCCCTCACGCTTGCTTTTGGCACACAGTGATAAAAAGGTTAGCCATCACTGCTCTATAGCCCACATAGCTGGTCCACCCAGGGAGAAGAGACTCTCATAGGACAAGAAGATGATTAAATTAGCAAAATCTTCCTTCTCCTGTTTTCCCTCAAAGTAATAGGAAGAATCATCCAGCAGCATTTGGGGATGCATGATTCTAGTTGCCAAACTAACTTTGTCTAGGAATAGATGTAGTTGCATCCAACCCTGGACAAGTTTATTTGAACCTGTGAATTAATTTTTAAAAAGATGCTATAATAGGAAATTGAAATTGTACAGAAGTCTTTATTTGTTACTTTGGGGATTTCCAACATGTATAAGTATCAGTTGTACAAATTATAAGTATTCATTTCTCATATTCAGGTTTGTTAACTGAAATCCAATGCAAGTCAAAACGACTAAGAAAAAACACGCCACAGCCCCCAGAGAACACTATTAGTGAAGATCCTGAGAGATTTGACCTGAAGCAAGTGTCATCTACAACTAAATTGTGTAAGGTAATAAAATTAATGTAGTTCTATAGTATGACACATTTAGTATATATGGAAGACTGAATAAGAATTCTGACAAGCAAATTTTTACTACCTTATAGAAAGATGAGCTTTTAATAACGCAAATAAGAAAGTCTTCTCTTTGATGGAATAAACCATATAATTGTACAAATATAATTTAGATGTTATTTATGTGAAAAAGTGTCATTGACAGCCTTGAGGGTATATCAGTTTATACTATGATATAATCAGTGTGGTGATCATTCCCAAAATATTGTTTATTTAATTCTAACGTAGGTCATGGTCACTAGCCAATTGTGATTTATTTAGTAAATTGGTCACTAGCCAATTGTGATTTATTTAGTAAACCATGATTAACAAACCATGGGTTAGAATGGTATATGAACCATCTAGAGCAGGGTTTCTCAACCTGTGTTTCATGGACCACTGGAGCCTGTGATGTCATCACAGGCCATCCACGAAAGCTTAAGAAATCTTATGATTTAAATCTTGTGTTAAGTCTTAGGGTCCGTGGCCATGGTCCATGGCCACAAAAGGTATTTAAGAGGATCAGTGGTGAAGAAAAGGTGAGAACCATGGATCTAGAGTATTGATGCAATAACGGATGGGGCTAATTCAGTGTAGGGGTTAAGCTGCCTGGCTAGAAATTGGGAGACCATGAATTCTAGTCATTTTCTCTCAGCCTCAGAAAGTAGGCAATGGCAAATCACTTCTGAAATCTTGTCAAGAAAATTGTAAACACTAGTCCAGGCAATCCCCAGGACTCTAAGGCACAAATGAATTAATTAAATAAATAATAAAACAAATAATAAAATAAAAAGTTAATATTTACAGGTCTGCAAGTTTTATCTAGGTTGTCATAGGGTTTCCCATTATATACACATAGTTTGTATAGCATATGATCTTACTACTGTTTTGTATTCTGATATGGACTAATGACTAATCAATGTATTACTATTATTACTAGCCTGATATAGCCTTGAATCCCTTGCAAAATATTTGTGTCTAAGCCATTATTGAAAACAGTATTTATTATTTTATTTTGCATATATACAGATAGTTCTCCAGCTATGACCACTTATTTAGTGATCATTCAAAGTTCTGACTGTACTGAATGTGTGGTCAATATGACTAGTCTTCAAAGTTCACATGATCACAATCTGGGCACTTATAGTGCTTGCAGCATTTGGAAGTCACTGATCATCATTTTCAACTTTCCCTGCTGGCTTCCCACAAGCACCAAATCAATGGAGAAGATAGCAGTGAAGGTTGCAAGTTGCTCCCATCATTTGCTTTTCCCACTTTTTCTCCCCAAATACCCTGTTATGGAGTATGAAATCTCAGAGATCTCATACTCATTAGCAGCATTCCACCAGGTCCACCCTCCATAGCACTTTCTCATAGTTCCTACCAGTCCATCTATATTTTGTAGGGTCTACCTGCAGCCTCAGCCAACCTATCAACCACCTGTGGCCCCTTCATACTTGCCTGTACTTGTAGTACTGTCCCATTGCACAAAGACACCCTACAGCACTAACACACTCTCCACCCTGCACTGTTTGCCTGGGACTCTAATTTTTTCTCATTTAGCAAGCTGCATGGTCCAGGGCTGCAATGACAACAGAGACTGCTGGGATTGCCATAGCTAAGTAATGCAGTCATGTGCTCTTGCATTTTATGACTATCATTTACTGATGGAAATTCCAATTCCAATTGGTGTAGTAACCTGAGGACTACCTATAATGCAAAAGTAAATGATTCCATTATATTATTGAAATCAGGAAAGATGCTCAAATGTGTGCAGTTAAATCTATGTATGAAGTAGAAAATCATGCTCAGTTATGGTTTAATTTTTTTGCCAGTATAGGAGAAAGTAAAATTAAGCTCGGAACAACAGAATCTTCTTCGTTATATAATGGATTCCTATAATAAACAGCGGATACCTCCTGAAGTTACCAAAAAACTTGTAAGTATACATGCCTCATCTCTCATAGAATGATTTAGTGATCAATATTTTTGGTTTAAAGTAGTCTGCAAATGATGCCAATAAACAGTAGGGGTTTTTAGTGGTTGTTTTGACACCACTGTACCATATTGGCTACAAAATTCAGTGGACAACAAAGTTTAAAAAGAAAAAAAACTTTTATAGTAACTTGTCATTATTTGGGCATCTTCTGAATTTTTGCAGTCTAATTGAAGTACTGCTATTTATATTTGGTCTAGTCAAGCATCAAGTGAAGGCACAGAATTTGGATTCAGATCTAATAAGCAGAACATAAAGTTTTTATTTGTTGTACAAAAAGTTGAATGTGGAACATCCTCTATTTTCCATTGACAGTGTGTAAGATCATGAGATTTTTAAACTGCTATGTTGTGTTCATCTATTTCATTTTCTTTTATTGTGATCGAAAATAATCATCTTTCCGTAATGTTCATACTTTAATAATTGTTCAACTATTTGATAGTTAATCCTATACATTTTGGATAGTTGTCAAAGAAAAATTAATAACATTTCTAGGATTTGTATTTTTTATCACTTGTTATAATTAATGATCATTTTGTTTTGATTATCAGTTACAAGAGGACTTCAGTGCAGAAGAAAATTTTCTTGTTTTAACAGAAATGGCCACTAGCCATGTTAAAATGCTTGTGGAGTTCACTAAAAGATTACCAGGTAATGAGATGTTGAATAAGTTTGATCAAATTAGATTTTTAATCAGAGATTTTTTTTATTTTATATTCCTTAATATAAACTCCTAATCTAATGAATACTCAAAGCGCCTAATAAAATATTTAAAAAAAATAAAAAATAGAAAGTAAAAGGCAACAATAATATTAATAACATTTAAAAATTAAATAACGGACGAAAGTTGTTTTATAGGTTTTATAAATACTGAAGGGGAACATAAACTGCAGGATGACAATCATCTTAAATTCAGTGCTTCTGCTTAATAGATTGGGGATATCGTATAGCATATAATTGATCCTACTAGCATTGCTTTCACTCCAGAACATTCATTCCCTGTTCAAATCGCCTTTGACCAACCTCTTTAGAAAACAGAAATCAATTATGTCAGCCTCCATCCTTCATAATTCATGTCCTTACCCTTTGACCTACAAGATCTGTTGCATAGCAAATTCTTCAGCAGGTAATATAAGTTATTATAGCAATTAGAGTAAAGCATTTCATTTTAGGCCTCAATCTATTAAAATAACCAAATAATAAATTTCAGCATCTTCATTCCAGGTTTTTCATGGATAGAAAAAAAATCTGTTATACTCTTTACTTGTATATAATTACAGTGATGTTTTATTAACTCATAAATTCTTAAGTGAGCCCCACCAGATCTATTATTAATTTGACAGCATATTATCAAGCACCGGGAAATCAGGAGATTCAGGCAGTTCAAATGAGTGTAAAGATTTATTGCAAGCTTAAGCCCTCTACAAGAATCTGAGCTACTAATGGTCAAGGAAAGTTAAGAATAGAAAGGAATTCAGAATGGGCTGGACTTAGATCTTTTGTGGGCACAAAGGAACTCATGACTGATGATGCATTTGATACCTCCCTGGGGATCAGCCTGGTCATCTCCTACACATATACAGATCTTCGTACAGCCCTCTCATTAGAAAGAGTCTATGGTAATAATTTTGCAGCAGAGAAAATGGTTACACAGTTTCTCTTTCCGATCATATAAAAACATACATTTTCTTCTTATGATGTCTTAAGTTTAAGCCCTTAAAAATTGGAGGGAAGGGATGAAGAGTGATTATGGTAAACCTTTGTTTTTAGAAAATTACAAATCGTCCAGATAGATTTGAAATAATTTTTTGGGATTAATTATAAGAATTCTTCTCATGGGAAAGTGCCATTGTTTTGAATTCGTCTTTAAAAAAAGACTTAAAAAATAAAAAATAGTAGAAGCAATTAGAAGTAACTACATAATTATATTGTCTTTAAAAAATATTATAGAAGAGAACCAATTTTATTTGACAATAGTGAGACTGACTTGAAAGTGGATTTAAATACAACAGGCTACAAGAATGACATGGAAGAAGATATTGCACTGGATATACAAAAGGCTGATGGCCTAATAATTAAAAGGGATATGCAAATAATGAACCAAGAGAATGACTTGGATAATTTTCCTATATTGGAGTTATAAAGGGTTCTTGATTTAAGAATTTTATGAAAAGGGACAAAGAAAAAAATGAAAAGAAATCAATTAGGAATTATTTGGATTAAAGGAATTATTTGGATTAAAGATCAAGATTGTTAGAAGTAAAAGAAAGAATATAAAGAAAGTTTATTTGATCAAGGTTAAAATAAATATGTTGTTATCTCTGGTAATCCTTAATGGACATTTAATGACATCTGGATTGACATGGCATAGCTTTAAGGATTTATTTATAGATAAGAGATGAGATGAGATATGTATCTTAAAAGAAGGTGATAAATTATTAAAATTGTGAATACTTTTGATGAAGAGGGAAGTCATATATTTTTTTTAATTATATTTTTCTTCTTTCATTTTTCAGAAAGTGTCTGTACATTTTCTTTTTCTTTTTTACTTTGTTAGTTTTTATTGTTTAAATGTTAATTTTTAATAACATTACTATAAAAAAAAGAAAATAAACAAAATGTACCTATGGAAGCAGTTAGCAGTAGATTATATAAAAAGTAGTCAGTAAATGTAGTGCTATACTGTTCTAATTTACTAAAAAGTCAGACAGTATCAGGTTGCAGGTATTTAGCTTAAATATAAATTTTAACTCTAGTTAGACCAAGCCTCAGTAGGGAAGATATTATAAATTAAATGTTTGTTTGATTTCATATCTTCATAATTTTTTCAGGGCACTGAAAATTAACATGACTCTAAGGAGGCTTACTTGGGGATTGATGGAAATGTATTCCATTCACCTTGATAGACCAAGCCTCCAACCCAGCTCTTTTCTATATCAGTTTATGACTAGCTGGTGTGGGGCTAGAAAATAAATACATATAATCTAGAACACTTGTACAAGAGGTGGTATTCTACCATTTCGGACCGGTTCACCCGAACCTGTAGCAGAAATCGTGGGTGCCCCCCCCTCACTCCAGTTCTATGGCATCCCATTTAGGCCCTTTTTTCGCCAAAAGCTCATTCTGTGCCCATGCGTGGAGGCACTTGCTCACATTTGCAAACTGGTAGAGAAGCTAAGTGAATACCACCCCTGATTTTTACCCAGTTATCTGAGAACACAAATCGTTATAATTAGTAAGTAGACCTGATTAAAATATTGTCAATGTTAATAATTCACCTTTAAAATGATATCTTTAGCAATCTTTATTTGAAAACTTAGACTGAAATGGGTGGTGCCTAAATTTGATAAATAAAAATCCTTCCTACTACATGATACCTTATTTTTATTTAATATTATATATAAAGTTCTTTTACACAGTCTATTTCATTAAACTAATTAGAACAAAGGAAAAGCAAGAATGAATGAAAGAGTTGGAAAGTATCCAGTTAAATACTGAAAGTTGATAACACATCAGCTCTCTTCTAACCCACAAACAGGAAGCTAATTTGTAATATGCTAATTAGGCTGAGAGTAATCACCCTGTGATCTTAAATTAGATTAAGAAAATGTGTACATGTGAAAAAAAAACTAAATGAATTCTTGTTTGGTGGCTTGGGAACTGAAACAAATTCACCCTTCAAATATGTCTTTATAATTCAATGGCTTCTTTTTTGTGCTAAAAAAATATTCATCTACTTATTTTAGTTATCCTACAGTATATCTTTGTCAACCATTTTTCTGACTGCTAGCTTAATGTCCTCACATTTTATTTCAGGTTTTCAAATCCTGGATCATGAAGATCAAATTGCTTTGTTGAAAGGTTCAGCAGTAGAAGCCATGTTCCTTAGATCAGCTGAAATCTTTAACAGGAAACTTCCTAGAGGACATGCTGATCTCTTAGAAGAACGAATTCGCAACAGTGGTAGGTGTCCTTAATTAACAGCAATTAACAGCAAAAGGAGACTCACTGTCCTTTAGCAAAAAATCAGTCATTTTGTGAAAGTCAAACTTCTCAAGCATTCAGTAGGAATGGAGTTCAAGACTATCAAAGAATTATAATTGTATTATAAAAATACGAATACTGAAAATAAATGTTCTATTATAATCACCCGTATTAGGGGATATGGAAAAAATCAGATAATGATATGTGATTTCTCATTAAGTTCAGTAAAATAATCTCATCCATGCAAATGCATAGCAATGATAAAACAAGCTCTATAATTGCTAAATATAGATTGAATGGAAAAATTGATATTAATTCATCTAAAATATATTTGGTCATGACTGATGTGTATGATAGTCAGTATATGGTTGGTTTCACAAAATTACCATTACTATTATTTTTACAGCACCTTTCTGTGTACAAAATGTGTTCATTATTGTTTAAATATAGTTACAGTATAGCTAAATATCTCAGACATTATAAGTTGTTATCATTTGAACCACTGTCTATGCTCTGGATTTTATATTTGGAAGGCACACATTTGAGAAACAAAATGAACAATTCCAGATGTGAAGGGAATATTCTTGCTTCTTTTTTCAAAGGTGATCTAGGCATGAATGGGGGTATAAGATAAACATCTGGGACCCTCTCTGTAGGCACATAAGCCATCACGTCAGCTCAGCTCCACTGCGCATGCACATGTGCCTTCTGCCAGCCAGCTGATTTTTAGGTCTCGGACGTGCATACACAGGGGGCAAGGCACATGCAGGAGACGTGCATGCATGCACGGGGGTTGTGTGTGCATGTGCAGGGGCTGTGGGGAAGCACAGGGGGTCATGCAAATATGTACAGGAGGCGGAAGATGGGGGGTATATCATGCGTGCATTGCATTATGGGGGTGGGCACGTTCACGCGCGCTATTGGCACACAACGACAAAAAGGTTAGCCACCACTTATCTAGGAGTTAGGCTGCAATTTTCTACCCATTTATATGGGAACAAGTTCTATTACTGCTTAGTATTTCTGACTCTAAGATATAAACCTGTGCTACTCCGTTAGCAACTACACTAATAGATATATGTCCAAGAATTAATAGAACATAGGGGCAATTTACTATCAGATAGTTTTAGTAGTATTTGTTTCCTGTGTTAATGTGTCATATATCTTGTTCTTGTTTTGCTATGCAGACTCTATTTTCTTGAAGACGGATTGTTGAAATTCTATTAAGAATTATAGCTAAAGGTTGAGGGGTTTTAATATGTAGTTGCACATTCTAATGAATGCATACCACACATCTTAAATAAATATATTTAAAATGTGTAATGAATATGAACTTCTTCTGACAGAAAAACACCATCTTCAGGATTATTTCTGTGGCTTGCGTTGAGATGATTTTTTAAGTGAAAGTGAATGTCAAGTTGTCAGATAGCTCCTATTGTCCACATCTGTGAAATGCAGCAACAAAAGCTGAAAATATAAATATCCCAATAGATGTTAATTTTTTGATCACCTGTCACAAGGTTGATTCCCAGGCTGAATTCCCTTAACAGTTATCAGCTTTCCCCTTCATAGACTGTCGGGCATTTTGAATTGCTATGTGACAAAGCTTATTGGTGACCTTTCTGACTTAGCATCCTCCTGTTAAGGCAGTACTCTATGGATGATGGTGGTGACAGTGGCGGCAGTAAGACTATCAGCTAAATAACTTGTGAAATGGAACACTTTCTTATAAATAGCCCTGACTTCTTCTACATATTTGTTGTGGCCCTTTGCCGGCCAGCAAAGCTGGCAGCAGAATCAGACAGTCAGGAGGTTGGGGCGGAACATGGGCCAGTCCTGGGGGCTGAGGAAAGCTCAGATGAGGGCTCTGTGTTGGAGACATAGAGGAAATTAAACAGCAGTGAGGCAGAGGAACAGCTGGAGCCTGTTCCCAGTGTGCGCATGCGCAGAGTTGCCAGAAGACAAGAACTACTAAGAAAGCAAGATCGACTTAGGAGTAAAGCCATACCTTGGAGGTGATTGGCCCCTCCCATAGGAAACAAAAGAGGAGCGAATGGGGAGTGGGCTTTTGCAGGAAACAATTCATTCATTCCGTCGTTTCAAGAGTGGAACGTTCTGTTTGTGACTATAAGAGACTCTGTGCCAAGTTTTGCCTTGCCCTGCATTTGGAAACTAGTTATTTGGCAGCTCTCCGAATGAGATAAGGTTTGTGTTGATAAACATTCCTCTGAAAGACTGTTTGCTAAGCCTTGCTGACTGTGAATGAAAGGAATTCACAGTCGTGTAAATAAAAGTGGTTTTTCCGGTTTCTTGCTTTTTAAGGAAGCATGGGTCAGGACAATATTAGTTTAAAAAATGTTTCTATCTAGTAACAACACTCTCACCTGCTTTTGTTCAGTACCGATAGTTCGTCTTTATTTCATGGACTTACTATTTCAGTTTTCAGTTTTCATTAATGTTCACAAAACTCAATTTAACTCATGGGGATGGGCAAAAAAAAGATGTAACATTAGTAAATACATTTTAAACGATTTCTTTGGTAACTCTGAATACTCATTTATACTCTGAATATTCATTTATAGTCATGCATTTTAGTTGCAAAGAAATGTCCAACACATTTTTGTGCATTTGGTTTTAAAATCAACGCCTTTCCAAAGCAAATATCACATTTGAAAACCATAATTTGGCAGTGAAATTGTATTTATTGGATTTTGTCCTGGTTTACAGTTGCAAACTCTTTCAGGACAGTTTGCAAGATTTCAATACACCAACGGCTTTATTAAAATCTATTCCAAAAAATTCCAACAGCCCATACAGGTCATAAAAACATTTTTTAAAAAGGATTAATTATTTGGATTTTAAAAAGTCTGGACAGCTACAACTAATGCAAATAGAAGCCAGGTGGAAAACCCCAAGGAGGGAATTAGCAAGATTTTAAAAAAAAACATAGATGAAAAACAATCAGTTCAGAAAATACTGTGACCCACTTATTGTTTTTTATTTTCCCAACAGAATCATATACTTTCTTGAATTACATACTAGACAGGCATATATTGGTAGCAATGGACAGTTTCTTGATGCAATAAGTGAAAGCTTTCAGAAAAACTGAAATAAGCCTCTAATGAAAGATTTGGAATTAAGAAAATACCTTGAATAGATAAGATACTGTGAATGAGGTAAAACAGTATGAGTAATTAATACGTGTGTTTACTTCTCAGTAACACAAGAACTAATTTACATTTTGATTTAATATCTACTGGCAGCTTCAAGCCTATCCAGATGAAAGATCTCTTCATCCATATTAACAGCTGTTGTAGTTATTATTAATTAGCTCCAAACCACCTTCCTCAGAGCTGTTTTTCTTCTTTTAATTTAAACATCTAGCTATAATAAATACATAAACTGAATGCTTATTGCTGAACAATGGAAATTAAAATGGGATGTACAATAAAGAACACAAGTCTGAAAACGGACATAAATTTTGAATTATACCAGTAACCAAATACAAATTAAATCTTCCATTGAGCTAAACAATGAAGCCGCTAAAATAATATCAGAATAGTTTTCAGAAATTGTGTTTTACTTGGTTCATAGTAAAAAAAAAAATCCCATATGGAAAAACGCAAATCAAGAATGGAAATTCCCTAGATGGAAGTTTTACCTGAAAAAGAAATATAAAATCAAAATCATTAAAAATAATAATAATAAACACAGAAAGTATGTTGAGTCCTCAACTTTGACTATTTCTTCAGCAATTATTCAAAATTATGATGCTCTGAATGGACTTACGACGTGTGCCTGAACTTATCGCTGCACCCCTATAATCATTTTCTCAAAATTCAGGTGCTTCACAACTCCTGCTCAGAGTATTTTGCAGATGTGGCCAAAAGGCCTTCCTTTTGTAGGGTAGCTGTGCCCTTTAGACCTCATGTCCTACCCATCTCACAGCTGCTCTACAGGGGGCCTTTAAAAATATCTCAGAAACTTCAAATGGGGACTAGCATGCTTTGATATGCTCATGTGATGTATCTGCTCATGAGCTACACTGGTTTGTAATATGCTTCCGGGTATTACAAATAAAGTCCTATCTAGCATAGGTCTAGATTATTTATGGAACTGCCTATCTCCCCTGGTGTCTACCCAGCCAGTATAAGCCAGCAGAGTGGGGACTCTGAATTCATTTGATTAAACAGCACCATCTATTGTGATTTTACTCTGCCATCATGCCTGTCTTCTGGAACAACATTCCTCCTTGAAATATTTATGGCACTCATTATGTTCCATAAGTCCTTGAAGATCTGGCTGTTCTCCCAGGCCTTGAGATAAGGTGGACTGACTCACTTAATGAATGTATTTTTGACTATGTTTTTCTACTGAGTAACTGGATGCCAACTTGCTTACTTGGTTTGCATTTTGTTTTTATTGTTTACTATATTGTGAACCACTCAGAATTAGTTAGAATGTCTAAATTGAGGAGATATGCCTCTCTGCAATAATGGTTGTGTTCACATTTCACACTTCTGTAAGCGGGAATGATTTATTTGGTTTTAGTGTAGCCTGTTTAAACCCGTCATATTTTTAAAACATGTTTTAATATTTACCACATTATATAAGCCCAGCCAATTATAGTTTATTAATAAACTATGCTTAGCTAAACTGTGGCTTAGTGTAATATGAATCCTTTCATCTTTAATAATATAGAAACTAATCTACTTGGAATACAATTATCACTTGATTCACATATATTTTATACAGTATAGCATATTGTTGACTGCCAACTGCCAGCAGTTCTGCAGTTCAATTCTCACCGGCTCAAGGTTGACTCAGCCTTCCATCCTTCCGAGGTTGGTAAAATGAGGACCCAGATTGTTGGGGGCAATATGCTGACTCTGTAAACTGCTTAGAGAGTGCTGTAAAAGCACTGTGAAGTGGTATATAACTCTAAGTGCTATTGCTATCATTATATATTTACTTAAGAAGTGAAAACGCCTTCATCTTGGAAGTTAGCTATTGCTATTGCTCAAACACAAAGTTCCTTTTTTTTTTTTACAAAGACATCTTTTATTACATTTTCCTTTTCCTTTATACAATCACTTAAATACTGTGCAGTTAAAAAAAAAGAAGCAATAAACAACTCATAACACTTCTATCCTACATACACCCTTCCTTCTACCCCTCCAACTTTCATTT